TGGTCATTGAGGCTATAAAAATGGCTCTTGTGCCGGCGCGATGTCCCTTGTAAAGCGTGCTTTTTGCCGTAGTTATACCCACACCCACACCCACACCCACCCTCATATGCACAGAAATGGTCATTTGGGCTGCAAAAATGGCGCTTTGTCACATTTAAAGGGTGCTTTTTGCCACAGATATAGTTATTTGCGGCATAGTGGTGGACATTTGAGCGATAGCAATGGTCATTGAGGCTATAAAAATGGCTCTTGTGCCGTAAAGAGGCCCTTTGGAAAACGTACTCATTTGCGTTATAGAAACGGTCCTTTGTGCCATAAGAAGGATCATTTTAACACACATGCTCATTTGTGCTATAGAAATAGCGCTTTGTGTCGCAAAAGAAGACCCTTTTCGCTACAGAAATGGTCGTTTGGGCCACAAGAATGGCTTCTGTGCTACAAGCATGGTCATTTGGACTATAGAAATAGCCCTTTGTGATATACAAAAGTGTTTTTTTGCCACATGCGTGGTCATTTCGGCTATAGAAATGACGCTTTGTGGCACATGAAAGCTCATTATGCTACACAATCGTCTTTTGGGTCATAGAAACGGCCTTTTGTGCTATAAAAAGGTCCTTTGGGCAAACTTATTCATTTGTGTCATAGAAATAGCCCTTTCTGCCATAAACAAAACCTTTTGGCTACAGAAATGATCATTCAAGACATCGAAATGGCTCTTTGTGCCATAAAAACGATTCTTCGGACATACATACTCATTTTTGGCCATCGAAATGGCGCTGTGTGCTGCAGAAGAAGGCTCTTTTCGCCACAGAGCTGGCCTTTTGGGCCATTGAGATGGCCCTGTCTGCCATAAGAAAACCTTCTGATCGCAGAAATGATCTATTGGCTATAGAAGCGGCATTCTGTGACATAAAAAGCTCTTTGTGCCACAGAAACAGTATTTTGAGCCATAAAAGGAACTCTTTGTGCCACAGACATGTTCATTTGGACCACATAAATAGCCCTTTATGACATAAAAAAAGGCCCTTTTTTGCCATACACATGGTAACATCGACTATAAAAATGGCGCTTTGTAGCATATAAAAGCTCATTGTGCCAGAGAAACCGTCGTTCGGGCGATATGTATGGCCCTTGACGCCATAAAATAGCCGTTTATGTTTCACAAATGGCTATTGTGATCATAGAAATGTACCTTAGTGCCATAAAAAATGACCTTTTTACCAAAGCAATGGCCATCTGGGCTATAGAAATGGCGCTTCGTTACATTTAAAAGGGCGTTTTTACGATAAAAATGGTTATTTAAGGTATAGAAATAGTCATTAGAGCCGCAGCAATGGTCATGGGAGCTATTGAAACCGTCCTTGTGTCGTTAAAAAAAATCCTTTGGGCAAACGTACTCATTTGCATTATAGAAATGGCCTTTGGTGCCATAAAAAGAACCTTTTCGTTACAGAAATAACAATTTGAAACATCAAAATGGCGCTTTGTGTCCCAAGAGAAGACCTCTTTCGCCACAGAAATGGTCGTTTGGGCCAGACTAATGGTTTTCTGTGCCATAGAAAAGAGGATGCTGTAACAGAGTAAGAGAATCTAATGAGAATGTTATGACAGGTGACCGTTCACTTCGTCGCACGACATTTCGTCGCATTCACTTCGTCGCAATCATTTCGTCGCACGATCACTTCGTCGCATAACATTTTGTCGCGTTCTGTTCGTCGCAATTTTTTCGTTCTGTTCGTCGCAACTTTTTTCGTTCTGTTCGTCGCAGAGTAATTACTCTCGTTCTCTTCATTTCTACTGGCTGTATCTCACTTAATTAATGATTTTTTTTTGTATAACCAATTGAAATAAAATAAATGAAAAATTCTATAAAATATTGTACAGTTAAAATAGACAAATGATAATTCCAACACTAATGACTCTAATTGAGAAAGCGGATCACAAAACGAATTCTCATACATAATCGCAACAGGTCTAAAGTGAGCGATGAATAATTAGATTTGTTACTCGGTTAATCAATTTTAACATAATCCAGACTAAAGATAAATAATAATATAATATCCTTAAATAAGAAGTCAGAAAAAAATACATTTCATTTTTCAATATCAACTCTCACTGCAAACTACTCTTTAATAAAAATGTCTCAAATCGAAAAACTACTTTCTGTAAAAGGAAAACCAATAATTCATCACGAAGGTTACATCTACACTGTAGAACGTACAACATCGACGAAATTGATCTTTCGTTGTCAGAATCGAGATTGTAAAGGTAAGTTAACATTTGCTATCACTCAATTAAAATAAAAATTATTGATCTATTAAGCTCGATGTCATACCAATTTATCTATGGACGTATTTCTCTCACAACCAACAGCCCACTGTCATGCTCCTCAACCTGATCGTGTGCCTGCTATCCAATTAAAAAATGAAGTTAAAGCTCGTGCCGCAACAACAGATGAATCAACCAGCTCCATTATTCATTCGGCTTTGCGTACGTATCCATTGAGTGCTGCTGGTGAACTTCCAAAAAATGAAGCACTTATGCTAATGATTCGACGACAGCGTACTGTTGAAACAGTCGATGCCGATGGTCGTTTACCAGAAAAATTAAGAAAGACGTATCGTGATGAAGACTTCATCTTACACGAAGACAAAAATTTAATTATCTTTACAACAAAAACAAATTTATCGATACTGAAGCAAAATAAACATTGGTTCGCTGATGGAACATTCAAAGTAAGCTATCAATTAAAAGTTTATATCTTTTTTTTTTCTAATTTTCTTTAACGTAGGTGTGTCCTGATGATTATTATCAATTATTCACGTTACACGCGATGATGACTAATGCAATTATCCCTCTTGTCTATGGATTATTAATTGGTAAAAGCGCTGAAGATTACAATTTATTCTTCGAAAAAGTATTAGTACAAGACGACTTCCAACCTGAATCAATTATGACTGATTTCGAAACTGGTACAATCAAATCCGTCAGAGAAATGTTGCCAAACATTTTACATAAAGGTATTTTGTAATATTCTAAAAAAAAAAGTAATCAAAATGTTTGTTATAGGATGTTTCTTTCATTTTTCTCAAGCGATATGGCGGCAAGTTCAAGAAAAAGGATTGGTAACAAAATACAGAGAAGATGAGTACTTTCGTTTAAATGTAAAAAAATTAATTGCTCTTGCCTTTGTTCCAGTAGATGAAGTTACAAATGGTTTTGACTTAATTGCTAATCAATTCGACGATGACGCCGATGATTTACTTGATTATTTTGAAAAAACATGGATTGGTGAACCAAAAAGAAGAGGTAATTTTTTTTCTTCATTCTTAAGAAATACGAAATATAATCGACTTTCTTAGGAACTGGTCGAAAGAAGCCTCAATTTAATCACAATTTATGGAATATTCACGATCGTGTCATCGCTACTGTACCTCGTTCCAATAATTCGGTTGAAGGCTGGCACAATGCATTCGCAAGTCGCGTCGCAATGAGTCATCCTGATATTGTGAAACTGGCAGAGAAAATTCGTCGAGAACAATCGAAGTTCGAGGTGGACATGGCGAAGATTCTCCAAGGTCACGATGTCAAGACAAAAAAAGCCTGTTATCGAAGATTGGACGAACGTATTACTCGGCTAGTCAACGCATTCGACTCATCTCAACTGGATGAATTTTTAAAAAATATGGCCGCCAATATTACTGTTTAAGTAAGTTACATTTAAAATTATTTCTCTCAATAATTTTCTTTTGTTTTATTTAGATTGTTCTTTTGCTTTTCGTTTGATTTATTATTTATTTCATGTATATTTTGTTTTTTTTTTGTTTAGATTTTCTTCTCTTGCCCACGCATCGCAATCATCTCAGCTGGACTAATAAAAAAAAATGATTATTAACAGTACTCATCAGGTAATTTACTCTCTAACTTATTTCTATAATTCATCTTTTTTTTTCTTTTAGATTATTATTTTCGTCTTTTCTGCTTTTTTTCTTGTTTTTCTTGTTTTTCTTTTTTTTTGTTGTAAATGTATTCATCATGTAATGTATAATTCACGAAATAAATATGAATCATTTGCTCAAATTAACGTCTTTGAAAAGTGAACTAATTAAGGGGCATGGAAAGAATAGATAGAATGGAAGAAAACGAGAGTAATTACTCTGCGACAAACAGAACGAAAAAAATTACGATGAACAGAACGAAAAAATTGCGACGAACAGAACGAAAAAATTGCGACGAACAGAACGCGACAAAATGTTATGCGACGAAGTGATCGTGCGACGAAATGATTGCGACGAAGTGAATGCGACGAAGTGTCGTGCGACGAAATGTACTAGCGCCCAATTTTCGTTCGACTATTTTTCGTTCGACCAATATTCGCTTTCCCGGTCAAGATTACTCTATTTTATATGTGTCATTTTTTTTTTCTCTATGATTCTATTTAAAAAGAATGAGCAACACGGCCAATAACAACATGAAACAATTTGACTATACATGTTACAATAGTATTTTTAATTGGCTAAATGTGCACT